CGACTACCGCCACTCCCACAACGACCAGCACTGACCTGCCTGTCACGACTACCGCCACTCCCACAATCACCAGCACTGACTCGCCAGTCACGACTACCACCACTCCCACAACCACCAGCACTGACTCTCCTGTCACGACTACCGCCACTCCCTCACCACGAGCACTGACTCACCTGTCACAACTACTGCTACTTCCCACCACCAGCACCACTGACTCACAAGGCACGACTACCGCCACTCCCACAACCACCAGCACTGACTCTCCTGTAACAACGACCGCCACTCCCACAACCACCAGCACTGACTCACCTGTCACAACGACCACCACTCCCACCACCACCAGCACTGACTCGCCTTTCACGGACTACCGCCACTCCCACAACCACCAGCACTGACTCGCCTTTCACGACTACCGCCACTCCCACAACCACCAGCACTGACTCGCCTGTCACAACGACCACCACTCCCACAACCACCAGCACTGACTCGCCTGTCACAACTACCGCCACTCCCACAACCACCAGCACTGACTCGCCTGCCACGACTACCGCCACTCCCACAACCACCAGCACTGACTCGCCTGTCACAATGACCACCACTCCCACAACCACCAGCACTGCTACTCCCACCACCAGCACCACTGACTCACCAGGCACGACTACTGCCACTCCCACAACCACCAGCACTGACTCACCTGTCACAACGACCACCACTCCCACAACCACCAGCACTGACTCGCCTGTCACAACGACCGCCACTCCCACAACCACCAGCACTGACTCGCCTGTCAAAACGACCACCACTCCCACAACCACCAGCACTGACTCGCCTGTCACAACGACCGTCACTGCCACAACCACCAGCACTGACTCCCCTGTCACAACGACCGCCACTCCCACAACCACCAGCACTGACTCGCCTGTCACGACTACCGCCACTCCCACAACCACCAGCACTGACTCGCCTTTCACGACCACCGCCACTCCAACAACCACCAGCACTGACTCGCCTGTCACAACGACCACACTCCCACAACCACCAGCACTGACTCGCCTGTCACAACTACCGCCACTCGCACAACCACCAGCACTGACTCGCCTGTCACCACTACCGCCACTCCACAACCACCAGCACTGACTCACCTGTCATAACTACAAGCACTCCCACAACCACTAGCACTGACTCGCCTGTCACGACTACCGCCACTCCCACAACGACCAGCACTGACCTGCCTGTCACGACTACCGCCACTCCCACAATCACCAGCACTGACTCGCCAGTCACGACTCCCACCACTCCCACAACCACCAGCACTGACTCTCCTGTCACGACTACCGCCACTCCCTCAACCACGAGCACTGACTCACCTGTCACAACTACTGCTACTCCCACCAACAGCACCACTGACTCACCAGGCACGACTACCGCCACTCCCACAACCACCAGCACTGACTCTCCTGTAACAACGACCGCCACTCCCACAACCACCAGCACTGACTCGCCTGTCACGACTACCGCCACTCCCACAACCACCAGCACTGACTCGCCTGTCACGACTACCGCCACTCCCACAACCACCAGCACTGACTCGCCTTTCACGACTACCGCCACTCCCACAACCACCAGCACTGACTCGCCTGTCACAACGACCACCACTCCCCCAACCACCAGCACTGACTCGCCTTTCACGACTACCGCCACTCCCACAACCACCAGCACTGGACTCGCCTGTCACGACCGCCACTCCAACAACCACCAGCACTGACTCTCCTGTCACAACGACCGCCACTCCCACAACCACGAGCACTGACTCAACTGTCACAACTACTGCTACTCCCACCACCAGCACCACTGACTCACCAGGCACGACTACCGCCACTCCCACAACCACCAGCACTGACTCTCCTGTAACAACGACTGCCACTCCCACAACCACCAGCACTGACTCGCCTGTCACAACTACTGCCACTCCCAGCACTACAGACTCGCCAGTCACAACTTCCACCACTCCCACCACCACCAGCACTGACTCGCCTTTTCACGACCACCGCCACTCCCACAACCACCAGCACTGACTCGCCTGTCACAACGACCACCACTCCCACAACCACCAGCACTGAACTCGCCTGTCACAACTACCGCCACTCCCACAACCACCAGCACTGACTCGCCTGCCACGACTACCGCCACTCCCACAACCACCAGCACTGACTCGCCTGTCACAACGACCACCACTCCCACAACCACCAGCACTGCTACTCCCACCACCAGCACCACTGACTCACCAGGCACGACTACTGCCACTCCCACAACCACCAGCACTGACTCGCCTGTCACAACGACCGCCACTCCCACAACCACCAGCACTGACTCGCCTGTCAAAACGACCACCACTCCCACAACCACCAGCACTGACTCGCCTGTCACAACGACCGTCACTGCCACAACCACCAGCACTGACTCCCCTGTCACAACGACCGCCCACTCCCACAAGCACCAGCACTGACTCGCCTGTCACAACTACCGCCACTCCCACAACCACCAGCACTGACTCACCAGGCACGACTACCGCCACTCCCACAACCACCAGCACTGACTCTCCTGTAACAACGACCGCCACTCCCACAACCACCAGCACTGACTCGCCTGTCACAACTACCGCCATTCCCACAACCACCAGCACTGACTCCCCTGTCACAACGACCGCCACTCCCACAACCACCAGCACTGACTCGCCTGTCACAACTACTGCCACTCCCAGCACTACAGACTCGCCAGTCACAACTTCCACCACTCCCACCACCACCAGCACTGACTCGCCTTTCACGACTACCGCCACTCCCACAACCACCAGCACTGACTCACCTGTCACAACGACCGCCACTCCCACAACCACCAGCACTGACTCGCCTGTCACAACGACCACCACTCCCCCAACCACCAGCACTGACTCTCCTGTCACAACGACCGCCACTCCCACAACCACCAGCACTGACTCTCCTGTCACAACGACCGCCACTCCCACAACCACCAGCACTGACTCGCCTTTCACGACTACCGCCACTCCCACAACCACCACAACGGACTTGCCGGTCACGACTACCGCCACTCCCTCCACCACCCCACTGACTTGCCAATCACAACTACCGTCAGTCCCACCACCAGCACCACTGACTCACAAGTGACGACTACTTCCACTCCCACAACCAGCTCCACTGAATCGCCGGTCACAACTACCACCACTCCCTCCACCAGCACCACTGACTCGCCAGTCACACCTACCACCACACCTACAACAACCACCTCGCCGGCCACAACTACCACCACACCCACAACCACCACCTCCGCCTTGCCAGCCACAACTACCACCACTCCCACTACCACCACCTCGCCGGCCACAACTACCACCACTCCCACAACAACAACCTTGCCTGCCACGACTACCACCACCACACCCACAATCACCACCACCGCCTCACCAGCCACATCTACCACCACACCCACAGCCACCACCTCACCGGTCACGATTACCACCATTTCCGCAACCACTACCACCACCTCGTCGCCCACAACTACCACCACAACCACCACCTCACCGGTCACAACTACCACCACTACCACCACCTCGCTGCCCACAACTACCACCACAACCACCACCTCACCGGTCACAACTACCACCACTACCACCACCTCGCCGCCCACAACTACCACCACAACCACCACCTCGCCGCCCACAACTACCACCACAACCACCACCTCGCCGGCCACGACTACCACCACACCCACAACCACCACCACCACCTCACTGGCCACGACTACCACCACACCCACACCCACACCCACCACCACCACATCGCTTACCACTACCAGCTCCGCCACGCCACCAGTTACAACTTCATCCACCACCACCACTACTAGACAGACCATTACAGGTGATCATTTGGTTTTATTTTGCTGAATCTGTTTTCAATGGCTTCTATATAGCTGTGTGGGAAACTGGAAACAAATATGAAATTTAGCTGCTTCCTTTTCCTTGAGGCATTTTTTTCATGTAAGGCCTAACCACAGATTCAGGTTTCAGAGTTCTGTAGCCCTTCCATTTCATCTGCACGGGGAACCTTTGACTTTAACCTGGTGGTTTTCTGGAATTTCCGAGTTCCCTGAGTTTTAGTCATTATCAGATTTCTGGTTCTCCTTGCCCTAGAGAAGCCTTCCTTTTCTCTGGGAAGCTTCTGCGAGGTTTCCAGTGAAGCGTTGATACTTCCTACAGGTATGTCTTGGCTCAGGAAGATGCCCTGTGGCACAAGAATGCGATGAAGACCGGCTTTCTAACCAGTTACTTCCAGTGCTTTTTTCTGGGGATACTCAGGAGTACACATACCCCTAAACATTTTATGAATCTTTGTACTTTTGTCCATTTACTATATTTATTTTCCCCCGATTTGAACTATAAAATCGTGATTTTCTTGAGTCAAAATGAGAGTACTCCTAAACATTTTTTAAAGGAAAAAAAGCACTGGTTACCTCAGTTCCCTTTCCCATAGCAGTCCATTTTCATTGGCTTGCATCTCCTTCTCTATCTTGCCTTTCTGTGGTCTAAGCCACTGAGCCTCTTGGGCTTGCCGATCAGAAGGTCAGCGGTTCGAATCCCCACAATGGAGTGAGTTCCCGTTGCTCTGTACCAGCTCCTGCCAACCTAGCAGTTCGAAAGCACACCAGTGCAAGTAGATAAATAGGTACCACTGTGGCGGGAAGGTAAACGGTGTTTCCATGCATTCTGGCTTCCATCACGGTGTCCCGTTGTGCCAGAAGCAGTTCAGTCCTGCTGGCCACATGACCTGGAAAGCTGTCTGTGGACGAACGGTGGCTCCCTCGACCTGAAAGTGAGATGAGCGCCGCAACCCATAGTCCGCCTTTGACTGGACTTAACCGTCCAGGGGTCCTTTACCTTTTTACCTTTTACCACAGAAGGCAAAGGAGGTTTGCCACTTCAGCGGATAATGGCATCAAATTGGAGTTTGGCCATAGTGGTTTGAATATTTTAGAGAGTGATTTTTGGCAACTGGCTGCAAAGGGGTTGTACACATTCACTGTGGACAAGGGACATTCAATGTGGACAACATGGACAAGGGAAGGTCTGTGTTGATTTTCCTGCAACAACGCTCACCAACTTCCAAAATTAACAGCTGGATTAGACAGGATTAGAAGCTGGATTAGACAGGGCACTTCTAAAACCTTTCAGATCAACTTAATACGTTGTTATTTAAGTCTATTTTGGAAGCTGCTACCTTTCCGCTCCACTCTTCTTCAACCTGTGGCACCTTAAAAGAGTAGTAAGTATTTCATGGCCTCCTCGGCTGAGACAAAATTTTCAGCTCTGAGGGATTGTGAAACATTACTTGAGTGTCAAGAAGAATTTCACTGTATTTTTCACCTGCTGCGTTTTTCTCTATATACAGTAAAGGTAAAGGTAAAGGGACCCCTGACCCTTAGGTCCAGTCATGGCCGACTCTGGGGTCGCGGTGCTCATCTCGCTTTATTGGCCGAGGGAGCCGGCGTACAGCTTCCAGGTCATGTGGCCAGCATGACTAAGCCGCTTCTGGCGAAACAGAGCAGCACATGGAAACTCCGTTTACCTTCCCGCCAGAGTGGTACCTATTTATCTACTTGCACTTTGACGTGCTTTTGAACTGCTAGGTTGGCAGGAGCAGGGACCGAGCAACTGGAGCTCACCCTGTCGCAGGGATTCGAACCACCGACCTTCTGATCAGCAAGTCCTAGGCTCTGTGGTTTAACTCACAGCGCCACCCACGTCCCTCTATATACAGTAGATTGCTGCTAACCACATTTTGTGGGGAAACCTTCTCTCTTCCAGAAACATGTGAAAATGGGGGGACACATGATGGCATCAAATGTTTGTGCCTTAGCAATTTCTATGGGCCGAAGTGTGAGTTCCCAGTTGAAGACATGCCTTTTGAAGTAGGTAAGTACACTCCAATCCCTTTTGCGCTGAATATAAGACGGGAAAGACTAGGGTATCATCAAACATCAATAATAATAACAGTCTGATCCAATACAAAAATGGTCACAATAACTTTAAAATAAACAACCTATATCAAAAAAGTGATATTCAATAATCCATTAGAATCTAACAGTAAGCAGTAAAATTAAATATCGGCAAATAATAAACAGTTCACACTTATCCACTGCAATGAAGAATGATTAAACTACAAACCATAAAAGTAACGGCAAGGCACAATGCATAAAATACCGCAAAACGTACAAAATGATGTATTAACAACAACTACTACTACTTATTATAAAATTATTAAATTAATTATTAAATTAAGTTATTCAGCTATCTTCTCTTTAAAAGACATCTAGGGGGGTTGGGGGGTAAAGCAAAAAGATTTGGGCTGGGGACCACAGTTGGGGGCTTTAAGCTTTAAGTATGTTTAAAGCACTCTTAACCACTACAGCGGCCATAGCTTCCCCGCAAAGAATCCAGGGAATTGTAGTTTGTTCCGGGTGCTGGAAATTGTACCTCAGTGAGGGGTTTTCTGACAGCTCTCAACACCTTTGTACAGTGGTACCTCGCAAGACGAATGCCTTGCAAGACGGAAAACTCGCAAGACGAAAGGGTTTTTGGTTTTTTGAGTTGCTTCGCAAGACAATTTTCCCTATGGGCTTGCTTCGCAAGACGGAAACGTCTTGCAAGTTTGTTTCCTTTTTCTTAAAACCGTTAATACAGTTGCGACTTGACTTCGAGGAGCAACTCATAGAACGCGGTGTGGTAGCCTTTTTTGAGGTTTTTGAAGACTTTGGTGATTTTTGAAGCTTTTCCAAAACTTTCCCGAAACCGTGCTTCGCGAGACGAAAAAATCGCAAGACGAAAAAACTTGCGGAACGAATTAATTTCGTCTTGCGAGGCACCACTGTATGTATAAATATGATGATGATGATGATGATGATGATGATGATGATGATGATGATGATTTATACCCCGCCCATCTGGCTGGGTTTCCCCAGACACTCTGGGAGGCTTCCAACAGAATATTAAAATACAATAGTCTATTAAACAGTAAAAGCTTCCCTAAACAGGGCTGCCTTCAGATGTCTTCTAAAAGTCTGGCAGTTATTTTTCTCTTTGACATCTGGTGGAAGGGTGTTCCACCGGGCAGGTGCCACTACCGAGAAGGCCATCTGCCTGGTTCCCTGCAACTTGGCTTCTCACAACGAGGGAACCGCCAGAAGGCCCTCGACACTGGCCCTCAGTATGATATAAATGAGATTAGACATTTATATGGCACTTCTGAGCTCTTAAAAGAGCCCTCAGAGCACAATAAATCCCATGGACAAAGTTATAAATAGAGAAAATCATATACAATCTTGGCAAGGATGCGATTTCTCCTCTTCTAATTTGCTCTTGGAATAGAGCCATTAGCAACAGCTATCAGGAATCGCAAGGGAGCCTTTGAACTTTGGGCAAAACGCCACGTTGTGTTAAACACGCTGACCATTTTTATTTCAAAGGAAAGTGGAATTCCATACACCTTTGATCTGGAGTCCACTCTAAATCTGGATTGGAGACCCGCAGCAGATTCACACCCCTGCTGTTCTTTTCCCCTGTAGGTCATGCTTATGGCATCTTTATGTTTAAAGACACGGGTGGCGCTGTGGGTAAAACCTCAGCACCTAGGACTTGCCGATCGCAATGGTCGGCGGTTCGAATCCCCGCGGCGGGGTGCGCTCCCGTCGTTCGGTCCCAGCGCCTGCCAACCTAGCAGTTCGAAAGCACCTCTGGGTGCAAGTAGATAAATAGGGACCGCTTACCTGCGGGAAGGTAAACGGCGTTCCGTGTGCTGCGCTGGCTCGCCAGATGCAGCTTGTCACGCTGGCCACGTGACCCGGAAGTGTCTGCGGACAGCACTGGCTCCCGGCCTATGGAGTGAGATGAGTGCACAACCCTAGAGTCTGGCAAGACTGGCCCGTACGGGCAGGGGTACCTTTACCTTTACTATGGCATCTTTGGGGGGGGGTAAATATCAGCTGTGGGGTGGGGGCAATTCCTCCAGCATAATCAGAACCAATTCCTATAAAACCGGGCAAGGCTTCTGCAAATACAACAGACTTTTTCTTGGCAGAGGCAGATGTTCCCATACCAGGCATAGGCAAACTCTGGCCTCCAGATGTTTGGGACTACAATTCCCATCATCCCTGACCACTGGCCCTGTTAGCTAGGGATGATGGGAATTGTAGTCCCAACACATCTGGAGGGCCGGAGTTTGCCTATGCCTGTCCTAGACTGAGGATCAGCCAAATCTGAACCAGGAGAGGGGTCAATTAAAGTATAACTAATAGCCATAACTAACTATTACTAATAGCATAGATCTGCAATTTAGACATTTGCCCTGCCCCCTTGCAACCCATGTTAAGTTCTAGTCTTAGGAGACGGGAAGAAAAACTTCTGTTTCTCCACATCATACATTTTATAAGGTTTTTTCTTATTCGTGTCCTTCTTAGTGGGGTGGGGTTCCCCCTTAACTAAAACACCTCCAGCATTTTAGCGGTTCCACAGAGGGGACATGTTCCAATCGCCTGATGATCGATCTCCCTCCATTTTAGAAAGTGTGCCCGTGACAATTGAAGTCCAAGTGAAAATCACCAACAAGGAGTTCGTTCCAGAGCTCGAGAACCAAGAGTCCGAAGAGTATAAGAGCTTGGAAGAGGAATTTAAGATGCAGGTAACAATGAGCCGGGACGCGGGTGGCGCTGTGGGTTAAACCACTGAGCCTAGGACTTGCTGATCAGAAGGTCGGTGGTTCAAATCCCTGCGACGGGGTGAGCTCCGGTTGCTCGGTCCCTGCTCCTGCCAACCTAGCAGTTCAAAAGCATGTCAAAGTGCAAGTAGATAAACAGGTACCGCTCCGGTGGGAAGGTAAATGGTGTTTCCGTGTGCTGCTCTGGTTCGCCAGAAGCGGCTTAGTCATGCTGGCCACGTGACCCGGAAGCTGTACGCCGGCTCCCTCGGCCAATAAAGCGAGATGAGCGCTGCAACCCCAGAGTCGTCTGCGACTGGACCTAATGGTCAGGGGTCCCTTTACCTTTAACAATGAGCCATTGGCTCATCCTTCAATACCCTGCTCTGTTGGTTATAGAGTAGAGTTCTCTTTCATTCTGTTTACCTTCCCTGTCTAAATGACTCCAGCCTGGATTATTAAAACATTATGTATTTTTCCTCTCCACCATTTAGATGGACAATGTTTATCAGGGCGTCTCTGGATACCAAGGTGTGGTGATCTTAAAACTGAGGTAGGTACCTGAAGCAGAGACCAATTTGAGATGCCATATTGCCCAGTGGCCTATTCATGTTTCAGATTTGGCTAAGGTGAAGCCAGTGAACGAGTCCTCCTGGCTTCCTGTTGCCACCCTACCAGGTCCCTCCCTCCTCAAAGGAAACCCAAGAGGTTGTTGTTTCCAGAATCCCCCTTGTTCCGCATCATTCCCAGGCACCAGATCTCTCCCTAGGAGATCTTAGGCTGCTGCTGTCTGTACTCCTGTTATCTGGGTGACTAAGGCTAACGTTCATCTATTGATTGAAGAGTAGCCCATTTTTTGAAAACATTCCCAGGCTAGATTCGAAATCAATAATGTTTCCACAAGCAGAGACAGTTGGTGCATTGTTCTTGTTGTTGTCCTTGTCGTTGTCATTAATAATTTTTATTAGTTTTCAATTACAATCCAATACAGTGGTACCTCGGGTTACATACACTTCAGGTTGCAGACTCCGCTAACCCAGAAATAGTACCTCGGGTTAAGAACTTTGCTTCAGGATGAGAACAGAAATCTTGCTCCAGCGACACAGCGGCAGCGGGAGGCTCCATTAGCTAAAGTGGTGCTTCAGGTTAAGAACAGTTTCAGGTTAAGAACGGACCTCCAGAACGAATTAAGTACTTAACCCGAAGTACCACTGTAATAGCCTCATTATAACAATACCAATTTATAATACAGTTACTAATACCAATCGTTCAAATACCAAATTATATAATTTAGATAAGGTCCTGTCCCCATGCGTGCTAGAATTGATGGTTTGATGATTTCTTTATTTCTGCATTACAAAATCTTATTAATTTCAATTACATTCTGGTCATAATAACAATCCCTTATACGACAACTGCAATATTAATAACTTCCATTCCTGGACACATTAAATGATTTATAAAGCTACAAATGAGGCACTCAAACGATATCCTTGTTCTTCCTGTGTGTGGCAATTATTTTGTCCGTGGTGTTTCTTCCTGTCCTTGTCAAATGTTATGTCTATCTTTTCCCGGTTGTTGCTGTTATCCATCATGCATTGGGCGGAGCTCATATCCCATTGTTGTTGTCCGTGCATTGCTATGCATTCAGCTTGTGCACCATACACTGAAAGCACATTGAATTCTGCAAAAAATCATGGGAACAGGAGGGCATCTATCAGAGATCTGCAATTCCCAACACCCTTCGCAAACTACAGCTCTCAGAATTCTTTGGAGGAAAACATGTCCTTTAAATGTATATGGTGTGCATACAGCCATGCTGATAGAACAAGATTTAGGCTCCCCCCGTAGCACTGATCTTGCACATTCATAAGGACTTAAGTGCATTTCCAGTTTTGGCTTTCTCCTCGTCAACGTGCGCCCCTGCTGCATAGCTGTCAATCGTCCCTTATTTGGCGGGAAACTCCCTTATCCCAATGCCATGTCCCGCTGCTGTCTCTTATTGATGATGTCCCTTAAATTTCCTGGGTTTCATGCTTGCCCGGCTCGGGAGGGAAGCAGTGGCTCGGGGTCCTCCGCCGCGAGAGGAGAGCGCGCTGGCGCCGTCGTCCTGGTGCAAGGAGTTCCATCTGCCCTTCCCCGCCCGAGAGGGGGGGGGAGGGAGAGAGACTCTCGCCCATGCTGCCTGCAAGCCCGGAGGCAGCAGCGGTGGTGGCAGCTGAGGAGGCGGCCTGAGGGAGGAGGAAGAGGAGGGGATGGGGAGGGACGCAGAAGGGCGGCGCTTCAGCGGCACCGCGAGCGCCGCAACCGCCTCATGCCAGATTGACAGCATCAGTCAATCCTACCAATGTATGTAACTCTGTACAACAGCAAAATCCCTTATTTGGGCTGCTGATCCCTTATTTTCGAGGCTGCTTCTCCCTTATTTTCAAATCTGTAAGTTGACAGCTATGCCCTGTCGTGCTCTTTTTAACAACACAATGGTGGTTGAGATATTGCCCTTTTTCATCACTGTGTTAGGAAAGGCAGCATTATCGTGGACCACGAAGTCATCATTAAAGCTGTAATAAACAACGATGTGAACATCATTGACAAAACTGTCCAGAACTTGACCGAGGTCGTGAGGAAGCAGCTGACTGCTGTCAACTCCACTCAGGAGGAATGCAATACGGGGAACTCATGTAAGCTCTGGGCAACAGTCTTTCAGTTGGAGATAATATTTCAATATTATTGTGTCCTCCTGGCTAGAGAAGGGTACTCAAAAGGTTTCATGGCTGGGAGTCCCTGCACTAAATAGGAGCCCATATCTAGAGAAGGAGTCAGATTGATTTCTTGCAGCAAAAACAAGAAAAGGGGTTGTGGCACCTTGAAAAAATTCATTATGGCATAATAAGCTGTTATGGACTAACTCAGGCTTCCTCAACCTCGGCCCTCCAGATGTTCTGAGACTACAATTCCCGTCATCCCTGACCACTGGTCCTGCTACCTAGGGATCATGGGAGTTGTAGGCCAAAAGCATCTGGAGGGCCAAGGTTGAAGAAGCCTGGACTAACTTCTACTTCATCAAATGCTTCAGGGAGCCAAGATGTGTGTGCCTGATTTCCTCCAACTCCATCCACCTATTTCTAACAAGAGCTTCTTTCACATACCATCCAACATTTCTCTGTTGAAAATAGGGACGTCCTATTCCGTTATTGGGACGCGGGTGGCGCTGTGGGTTAAACCACAGAGTCTAGAGAAAGCAAGCTGCCCCAGACCATCAGCACAGAAAACAGGGCAACCCACCTGCAATTGTCATATGAGCGTTCAGTTCCAGCCCTCAACCCAGCAAATAAGGACTTGGGACCCTGCTGAGACCACATGCCTCAGGGGGGCCGAGGTGCACTTTGGACAGCAGTAAATCACACCCGCCAGGAAGATTCAGGGCCCTACGACCCCAAAGTCAGGCTGCAACCCTCGTATTCAAAAGCAGAAAAGAATTGGCTGAATTAGCCTGAAGCTAAGCTGGCAGAGCCTAGGACTTGCCGATCAGAAGGTTGGCAGTTTGAATCCCCATGACGGGATGAGCTCCCATTGCTCGGTCCCAGCTCCTGCCCACCTAGCAGTTCGAAAGCACGTCAAAGTGTAAGTAGATAAATAGGTACCGCTCCGGTGGGAAGGTAAATGGCGTTTCCGTGCGCTGCTCTGGTTCGCTAGAAGCGGCTTGGTCATGCTGGCCACATGACCCAGAAGTTGGCTCCCTCGGCCCATAAAGCAAGATGAGAGCCGCAACCCCAGAGTCGTCTGTGACTGCACTTAACTGTCAGGAGTCCCTTTACCTTTACCTATTCCATTATTATTAATTATTATTATTATTATTCCCCACCCACCTGACCTATGTTCAAGATTACATTACAGCATATACCTCTCCACACTTTTCCAGTATAAAATAGTTCAGTATAATTCTATTAATCTATTATTAAAATTAATAGAATTACCTTCTTTAGAGAGACTGTCAGGGCATTTTGAAGAGGTGCAGAAAAAATATATAAGAAAGGAAATGAGTAAAATCATGCAATGTAACCATCTCTTTCTTTCCCCAGCATTTTGCTTTTCAGCTCCACCTGACCCTATTCTGAGCGCAAGCACAAATTTTTCAGCTGAAGGTGAGTCCCAGAATTAGGGAGGGACAAAGGGATTATTTATGCACCCGCAGCCTGTCCAGCGAGAGCAAAAACAGTGAGCTGCCTGCCTGTTCTTCTGGCTGCATCATGGTGTTAGCAAGTTGGCACTGCCAGGCCTCCTTTATTCTCTTTCGTGGTGGGATAGTTTGGCAGAGACGCCCTCCAACATTCATCAGATGAAAACAGGGACATTCTATTCCGCATCAGTATCACTAGATCCACACTGATCTGTTAAACCAGGGGTCAGCAAACTTTTTCAGCAGGGGGCCGGTCCACTGTCCCTCAGACCTTGTTGGGGGCCGGACTGTATTTTGAAAAAAAATAATGAATGAATTCCTATGCCCCACAATAACCCAGAGATGCATTTTAAATAAAAGCACACATTCTACTCATGTGAAAACACCAGGCAGGCCCCACAAATAACCCAGAGATGCATTTTAAATAAAAGCACTTATTCTGCTCATGTGAAAACACCAGGCAGACCCCACAAATAACCCAGAGATGCATTTTAAATAAAAGGACACATTCTACTACTGACACATTCTACTCATGTATAAACACGCCGATTCCTGGACCGTTCATGGGCCGGATTTTTTTTTTTAAAAATATATATTTATTAAAGTTTCAAAATGTTACAAAAATAAGAAAAAGAAAAGAAGAAAGAAGAAAAAGAAAATACAAAGTACAGAAAAATAAAAACAGTTAAGAACAAATCAATATTTCCATATCTTGTCTTTCGTTTGCTTGTTTCCCTGACCTCCTCACACCTCCCTTTTTTGTATTCCAGTTCAAATAGTTAATTCAGCAAATTCTTTCCCACTTTGTTTTTATCTTGATCCTTTATCTTAATATATTATAACTTTAAATTATCACCTGTTAACAATCCATTTTTACTTATTCCTTTATAACATTGCTGCTAAAAACCACTTAACTTCATTTCGACATTATTCTAACATTCATGGGCCGGATTTAGAAGGCGATTGGGCTTTTAGAGGTGCTTAGGTAGGGGCATGGCCAAAAAAGGTTGGGAACCACTGTCGTAGTCGCTGCTGCCCTGGACCCCCTCCCCCCCATCGGCAGTACCCACTGAGCTGCCTCTGCTTCCCTGAGTGTGACTTTGGTCCCAGGCAGTCCTGGCCAAGGGGAGGGGAGGGGCAGGCAGCTGGGCGAGCAAGTGGAGCTGGGTTTATTGGGGGGGGCACAGTGCAGCCCTGCTGGGCTCTAGTGGGTGGATGGGTGGCCGCTGCAATGAATGAAAAGGTGGAGAAAGATTTTAGGTTTCTTTAAGGGGAGAGGCTTGCATCTGGGAATCTGGGACTCTGCCTGACAAAGTGAGAAGTCGTGATGGCCTTAAGGTCTTCATGAAGGTCCTGGCAGTTTTTGTGACAGTGGTTTCTTCTTCTTTCTCCTTTCTCCCAGCCGCTTGCAGAAAAAACATCGATCCCAGATATGCAGACTACTATTACCCCGATAACTCAACAGGCACGCTGCGCTGTATCTCCGACTGCACTAAGGACACCAAAAACACCATGAACTGCAACAATGGCTTATGTAGCTTATCTGAAAGAGGCCCTTACTGCAGGTAAGTGGACAGAGGAGCGGATAGCAGAAATATCCCTGGATCCGGGCATCCCATTGCAAACCTGAATTTGTGCCAGTAGGTGAGAGAATCCCAGCTGAAAACTGTGACAGTCTGAAAGAGCCCTGTTCCTCTTCTTCCCCTCTGCAAGAAAATCCAGATGTGGACTGAGGTGCAAATAAGTCGGTGGCTGCATGAGGGGTGCCCGGCAAGGTTTTGGGAAGGGGGGAATGCTCTCCCCTAAAACCACTTGCACATCTCTCCCATACACTTGTCCTACACTCGAGTAGGACCCTGGCAGAGACACATGCCCGACTGGCATGTTCTCTCCCTCCTGGTCGTTCGTATGGGAGCTTCAGAAGCTTTCTTCAGCCCAAACATCACAGCAACCGATGCCAACAGACACACTTAGGGATCCGCAGAGTTTGCTCATCATGCACGTGACAGACCTCAGCAACTCAGCATTTTGGCTAATCTACTTTATTTACATATAAACACACATGGAGCACTGCAACATGGCTCCCCCTCTCTCTAGCATCAGACACAAAGAGAAAAAGAACAAAGGACAATAGTCCCACTTCACGGAACACAGGGACACAAACATCCTGTCTCCGTCACTTCCCACTCTGTGGAGTCAAAACATACACCGTCATGTGCAATACAACAATCCCATGACTGCAATCACAGAGCAGGAATTCTAACACCTGGCAAGGCCTTGGGAAGGGGGAATGCGCTCCCCTAAAACCACTTGCACATCTTTTCCATAGGTGCAATGATGTGGAGTCCTTTTGGTACATGGATGATCGCTGCCAAACACCGATCCGAAAGAGTGATGTCGGCTTTGGGGTTGGGCTGGCTGTCCTCGCAGTGATCAGCATCGTCCTGGCGATGTTCCTCCTCAGAGCCAGACGGAGGAAGTCTCGTTCTAGGTAAGATGCAGGCTGGAGGAGAATAACCTAAATTTCTGGACCTTCTTGGCAGGGAGCCAAACCTAATGAGTTAGCGATTTCCTGGGATCCTTTATAGCAATGAGTAGGGGATCTGTTTGGTCCCACGAGCTGGATCAGGTTTGAACTCGCAGGGCAAATTTGACAGGTCAGTCGCCCGATGCCACGGTGCCAACTGCTGCAACATGCTTTGAAACCGTGGACTTCAAAGCATCTATCAGTAAAAGGTAAAGGTACCGCTGCCCGTACGGGCCAGTCTTGCCAGACTCTAGGGTTGTGCGCTCATCTCACTCTATAGGCCGGGAGCCAGTGCTGTCCGCAGACACTTCCAGGTCACGTGGCCAGCGTGACAAGCTGCATCTGGCAAGCCAGCGCAGCACACGGAACGCCGTTTACCTTCCCGCTGGTAAGCGGTCCCTATTTATCTACTTGCACCCAGGGGTGCTTTCGAACTGCTAGGTTGGCAGGCGCTGGGACCGAACAACGGGAGCTCACCCCGCCGTGGGGATTCGAACCGCCGACCTTTCAATCGGCAAGTCCTAGGCGCTGAGGCTTTAACCCACAGCGCCACCCACATCCCTTAAAAAAGCATCTCTCAAGGACTTCCGGTTTGGATCGCCTGCAGCACGGGAGCGCGGAGAGGTAGCTCTCTGACTTCTCCGAACTGAACGGGGCTTTTGAGGGGCAACGCAAAGGCACTGCGACCCCCAAAACCTCAAGGGGGGCCCCCTTGAGGGAAGAGCAACCAGCAGCGTCGTGTGGCCCGAAGCTAAGTGGGTTATACCAGGAGCAACGGGATCAATGAGACGCACCCGGTAAGCCCTGCCGACCCCGCGCAGTTATGCCTCAGAGCTCCCCGCTGAAAGGGCAACAAATCTCCGCAATTTAAGAAAACAATCCTTGGGGCAATATGAACTATGCTGAAACTAAAAATTGGAGGCAGAGCCCAAGGAGCGTTGGATGTTTAATGATTTAATTACGGAGTCCGTGTGGTTTTACGGGTTAAAGATGGCGCTGGGACTTCAGTCGGAAGAGTGATACAAAGAAACGAGCACTAACCTGCTGTAGAATCGCGGAAAGGGGAAGCCCTCGTCGGGAGTTTGACGAGGCGAAGTAACCAACAGAATAGTAACAAAACGGGAAGAGAATTTCGAAAAACTTTGTATGGTATAGGCGGCTAGAAAAAGGCTTCCGTGGGGAATCCAAGGAGAATACTGAGAAGCCGGGAAGGGGCGACAACTAGAAGCGGAGGTGGACAGAGGGGAGGAAAGCCGACCAATTAGGGACACAGAAAAGGAGGAGGCAGCGGTTGCAGCCGCTTTTAATCCTTCCTGTGTGCCCCTTCTTCTTCGATACGAAAAAGTGGTCTTTCCAGAAAAGAAACCTCCCTCTCCTCCATGTAGCTTCGAAGGGTGGAGTAAAACACGAGGACTAAGCAAGGCAAGGTACCTCTACCGGCAGACGCCCGCCCCCCCCCACTCCCGAAGACTTTGGAGCTCTTTTGAAGTCCGCCGCTACTGATCCCTCCCCTATCGCAGTTTGTGGGCAGTGGGAGGAGAAACCTTTGCAAAGACTTTGTAAAGACTGCGAGGCGAAGCCATTAGCCGAGACACGACTTGCTACGGATTCGGCGGTCCCCTTGGCATCGCTGCCTGCCTCTTCTGTTTTGGCTTCCTTTGGGCTGCGTCGGATCCTCAGTTCTTAATTGACTACACTACTTCAGCCGAGTACCCCTGGAATTTTGAACCTTACCTGGATGTGGACCCTGCATCCCTCCTCGCTGGTATAACATATTTTTACCCTTGCTCACCCCCCCCCGCCCTCCCCCTTCTCCCGCCTTTCCCTTTTTCTCCCAGCTTTGGAGGCGCTTACAGAGAGGGAATGAAGAGAGTGGCGAAATACTGCCCATAAAACATATAAGCAGACTAAGCCAGACAAGCGGCCAAAAGCCACATAAAAGATAAACCTCCAGCAGGGGACATTTAAAAGGAAGACTTTTTACCCTTTTTGACACCATCTCCTCATACCAATATAGCTCTCTGCTTTTCTTCTCTTCTCCCTCCCTTTTCTGATCTTACTTAGCCAAACCTTCTCTCTTCTCTGTTATCGTTTCCCTTCCCCCCCCTTTTTCCACCCTCTTTCCCATATCTTTTCAATTCTTTATCTTATTTTTTCTTTTTTCTTTCTTCTTATTTATCTTTCTTCCTCATTATTGTGGAACGTTATTGCAAACTTTCTTACTGATTACGGTTTTATTTGCATACTCTCCTAAAATCGATGACAGAAGAGCCCCTGAAGGTGTAAAACAAAACTAACAGTGGGAGAAAAGCTAACAGTAATTTCACCTGAGAAAATCAAAGAAATAGGTGGAGTATCTTCAACTAAATATACAAGATTGTGAGCCCGTTAAGGGAGAGATCTAGTATTCTCAGGTGGGTTATTTATTAAACACAGGGGCGAGGGACGGGAGGAGGGAGAGGATGATGGGGAAGGATGGGAAGAAAGTAGCAGGAACGCCAGCAGACAGGAAAACCTCAAGGCAAGAGGAGATAAAAGATCTGGATGCATTATGGTTAAAAATAAAGGAAGAATTTAGACAGAATGAAACACATATGGAGAAAAAATTAGGAGAGATGCAGGAATCCTTTGATAAAAAACTGGAGGACATTGCAGGGGAACTGTCAATCAAAATAAAAGACCTAGCAACCCGAACAAAATCCCTAGAAGACTCAAACAAAAGAGTACAAAAAGAAACGAAAGACCAGAAAAAAGAGGTTGAGAAACTCAAAGAGAATTTTGGGGAGCTGAGTAAAAGCCAGGAACAAGTTCTAGATAATTTAGCTATGATAGAAATGAAACAAAAACAGTTAAATTTAAAATTTAGAGGAGTAGGGGAGGAAAGGGAGGAAGACATTAAAGGAAAAATGATTAAGGAATTAGCAACATGGCTAGCTTTGACAGAAGAGGAGATCGAGCAAACGATAGAAAATGCCTTCAGAATCAAAGTGAAAACTAAACAAAACAGACTGAAAAAGACCCCAGGAGACTGTCTGGTGATTTTTAAATCAGCAGAGATGAGGAACATAATTCTGAGAGAAAGCTATCAGAGGAGACTGATAATTGACGGAAAACCAATTATTATTTTTAAAGAAATTCCAATCAGGCTCCTTCGTAAGAGAGAGGGCTATACACAAATAGTTAGCACACTAAAAAGGAATGGTATAAGACACAGGTGGGAATTCCCAGAGGGGATTTCTTTCTTCTACAAAGGAAAGAGATTTAAGATCACAGACAGTCAGGAAGTCAGTAAATTTTTACGCAGATATGAAAAAGATTTCGGAGAGATGGAGGAGAGAGTGGGAGGAAGAGTTGCGGAGAGAGAGAGGAGGGATGACACAGGACTGGAGGGGAGGGGGGAGGGAGGAGGGATGGGGGGAGGGGGTGAAATGGATAAAGAAAAGAAGAGGAGGAAGAGGAAGGGGCCGAGGAGGAAGAAGAAACAGAGGACAAACTAACCCGAATCTAAACTAGTTAAAACACTAACTGATAATTTACTGACCCAACAATGAATCTAAAAATTCTAACATGGAATGTAAATGGCATGAACGATAAAACAAAAAGGAATAAAATTGTAAATGTGCTGAAAAAGAAAAAATTGGATGTAATCTGTATGCAAGAGACCCATGTAGCCAGAAAGCATAAGCATGTTTTAGCAAATAAGAGCTTGGGAATAGAATTTATAAACTCCACGACAGAGAAAAAGAAAGGGGTAGTAACGTATGTCAACGAAAAATGGGAACCCAAATTGATATATAAAGATGAAGATGGGAGGATACTGGGGGTCCAAATTAATTTCCAGGGGGAAAAGATTAACGTGATAAACATATATGCCCCAAACTCAAACAAAGCGGAGTTCTTCAAAAAATTAGAACAAGTGCTGCTAGAATTTGAAAATGACAAAATGGTGCTATTGGGAGATTTTAATGCGGTTCCGATTTTGGAATTAGATAGACAAACGGAAAAGGGAAAACATAAACAAGGGAAGTTACCGAACTCATTCCAAGACTTAGAAGAAAATATGGCCTTAATAGACGCATGGAGGTACAAGCATCCAACAGAAAAACAGTTTACTTTCTTCTCTGAGGTGCACAAAAGTTGGAGCAGAATAGACCAAATATGGATCTCGAGGGTTCTTTCATTAAGGACCACAAAATGCGAGATACAACCAAGAACCTTTTCTGACCACAATTCATTAACACTAGAAATAAAAGGGACAACCCAAGGAGGCTTCAGATGGAGACTGAATGAATGGTTGCTAGACGATGACGAGGTCATTGAGAAAGCTAAAGCTACCTTAAAGGATTACTTTGAACTTAACCTTAACAGCGGAACAAACATAGAAGTGGTGTGGGACGCTAGCAAAGCGGTCTTAAGAGGCCTTTTCATTCAGCAAAACAGTTATAAGAAAAAAATAAGGCAGCAAAAGAAGGAAGAAATCCTGAAACAGCTAAGGGAGAACGAGAAAAAACTAACAGTAAATCCAAAAGATGAGCAAAGTTTACAAACAACTAAACTATTACAAACACAATATTCAATGCTAACAAATCAAGAGATTGAAGGTAAAATAATGTTAATGAGGCAAAGATATTTCGAGTCAGCGAACAAAATCGGGAAATTTTTAGCGTGGCAATTAAGGAAAAAAAAAAAACAGAGTGTGATCAATAAGATAAGGGTAGGGGATGAGCTGATTGCGGACCCAAAAAGAATACAAAAAAACTTCCTCAGCTTCTACGAATCGTTGTATAAGAAAGGAGAAGAAGACCTAAACCAAATAGAACGATATCTAGAGAATTGGGAAGGGAAGACCATAACAGAAGAAGAAAGACATCAATTAAATAGACCCATAAGTATGGAGGAGATTCAAAATGCGATGAAAAAAATGAAATTGGGGAAGGCACCAGGGCCGGACGGCCTATCGGCTAAATACTACAAGGTTCTGGGGAACCAAATGTTAACCGTGTTATGTGACACTATGAACAACATCCTAAGAGGAGGGAAAATCCCAGAGTCTTGGAGGGAAGCCTTTATAACATTAATCCCCAAACCGGACACAGATAAATTGAACATCAAGAATTATAGGCCAATATCCCTGTTAAATAACGACTATAAAATCTATGCTGACATCATGGCAAGTAGAATGAAAAAGTGCTTAACAAACTTAATCCACAAGGACCAAGCGGGGTTTTTACCTAACAGATTTCTAAAAGATAATGTGAGGCACGTTATCGACGTAATAGAATATCTAGAGATTAAAAATGAGGTACCTGCAGCTCTAATCTTTATAGACGCAGAAAAGGCGTTTGATAACGTCTCGTGGTCTTTTTGCTAAAAACCTTGGAAAGGGTGGGGATAGAGGGTGAATTCCTGAAAGGAATACAGGCGATATATTCAAATCAATCTGCCAAGCTGGTTATAAATAACAACATTACAAGTAGATTTAAAATAGAGAAAGGAACAAGGCAGGGATGCCCCCTCTCCCCACTCTTGTTTATAATGGTTTTGGAAATCCTGGCGAATAAAATAAGACTGAAGCCAGAGATACAAGGGATTAAAATAGGCACCAAAGAATATAAATTAAAAGCCTACGCGGATGACCTGATATTATCTTTGGGAAGACCGCAAGAAAGCATTAATAAAGCCCTGGAGACATTGGAGGAATATGGGAAACTCTCGGGTTTTAAATTGAATAAAGTTAAAACAAAGATGTTGACAAAAAATTTGGATAACGAGGAAAAGGAGAAGTTAGAGAGAGAATCTGGTATCAAAGCGGTTAAAAAAATAAAATACCTAGGAATTTGGCTCACACCGAAAAATATAAATTTAATTGAGGACAATTATTCGGCAACATGGAACAAAGTGAAAAAAGACCTGGATGTGTGGAGCAGAGTCAAACTTTCATGGCTGGGCAGGATGGAAGCTATAAAAATGAATATATTACCCAAGATGCTGTTCTTATTTCAAAACATCCCGGTCATAAGAGGTGCCAAAATATTTAAAGAATGGCAAAGAACCCTGGTGAGATTCATATGGCAAGGCAGAAGGCCTAGGATTAGATTCAAATTGCTCACAGATAGAAAGGAAAGGGGAGGACTGGCTGTTCCCAACTTAAGACTCTATTATGAAGCAGCCTGCTTATGTTGGATCAAAGATTGGATAACTCTGGAGAATACCGACTTATTGGACTTAGAAGGTGTAGACAATAGGTATGGCTGGCATGCCTACCTTTGGTTAAACAAAGGGAAGGTACATAAAGGATTTGCGAGCCATATAATCAGAGGCTCTCTTTATGAAGTCTGGGAAAAAAACAAGAAACTGTTAGAGTGGAAAACACCTTGGTGGCTATCCCCCACAGATATCTTATCAATTAAAAGATAAATTTAGAAGAACCAAAATTGACATATGAAGATTTACTAATAAGAGCTCAGGATAATTGGAAATTAAGACCTTATGAGGAGCTGAAGGAGAAGTTGAAGGACTGGCTACAGTACCATCGGATTAATGCACTATGGACGGAAGATAAAAAATTAGGAATGAACGAAAAAAAATCCAAATTCCAAATTGAAATAATTGAAAGTAAATCCAAATTAATATCCAAAATGTATAACATTCTATTAGAATGGGACACAAAGGATGAAGAAATTAAAGAAGTCATGGTTAAATGGGCGATAGATTTGGGGCACAATATTGAATACGAAAAATGGGCTAAACTCTGGAATGAGGGAATAAAATTTACGGCAAGCGCGGCAATCAGAGAGAATCTAGAGAAAATGGTATATAGATGGTACCTAACACCGGAAAAATTAAATAGGATGTACAAGACGGGTAATAAGAAATGCTGGAGATGCAAAATAAAAGAAGGCAATTTTATACACATGTGGTGGACATGTGGAGAAGTAAAAAAGTTTTGGAACCAAATATATGATGAACTAAAAAAGATACTAGGTTATACATTTCCTAAAAAACCCGAGGCCTTCTTGTTGGGGATGGTGGGAAAAGAAATATGGGATAAAGATAGAACCTTATTCCAGTACTCAACAGCAGCGGCCAGAATGTTAATCGCTCAAAATTGGAAAGGCACAAACTTACCAACAGTTAAGGATTGGCAATCAAAAGTATATGGCTTCATGGAATTGGCAAAGATGACACAACGAATTAGAAACCAAAAAAAGCAAAGTTAAAAGAGGAATGGATTAAATTTTCAACTTATATGGAAAGTAATCTTAGAAACTTACCAACTATAGCAGGTCTAATATAAATCTTCCGATGTGCAAACTAAAAACCAACACCAGCTGTAAACTAAAAGGTATAAGAACAAAACCCGAAATCAGTACGGAAGGAAGTAGAGGTTGTTTGTCAATGTAGTAGGTAAACTTTTGGGTGTTGTTCATTTTCTTTTTGCTTATTTTGTGTTCTTTGTCTATGTTATCTTTACTTGTTTTGTCGTATGTTCTGTATTGCGTATATTCTTTTATTCTTTTTCTTTTTTTTCTGTAAACTTTTGTTGGTGTAATGATAAACGAAACTCAATAAAAAGATTGAAGAAAAAAAAAAAGCATCTCTCAAGGTGCTGCTAAAACAAAGGCCCTTTTCTTTATTTTAGAAGGGGATTTTATGCATTGGAATCCCCTGCTAAAATGAATGTTTTTTCCCCCATGTCTTAGCAGCAGGTAACAAAGGGTGAGAGGACCATTTTAGCTGTGGTTTCTGTGAAAATCCTTTTTTTAAAATGTATTATTATTATTTATTTGCACTTTTAACAAAACAAAACAAAAAGGAAGGGGAATAGATGTATAAAATGAATTAGAGGAAAATAAATGACGTGCAAATAATACCACCACCGACAAAAACAAACAAGCCACACAACACCATCACAGAATTGTAGAGTTGGAAGGGACCTAAAGGATCATCTAGTCCAACCCCCTGCAATGCAGGAATCTTTTTGCCCAACGTGGGACTTGAACACACAACCCTGAGATATCGGTATGCAACCTGTTCAAAGGTAGCCAGTACAGCAAGGTCCTTAGATGACTGAGTAATAGATGGTGCATATTCTTCCCCACAGGGACGCGGGTGGTGCTGTGGGTTAAACCACAGAGCCTGGGACTTGCCGATCAGAAGGTCGGTGGTTCGAATCCCCATGACAGGGTGAGCTCCGGTTGCTCGGTCCCTGCTCCTGCCAACCTAGCAGTTCGAAAGCACGTCCAAGTGCAAGTAGATAAATAGGTACCACTCCGGCGGGAAGGTAAACGGTGTTTCCATGTGCTGCTCTGGTTCTCCAGAAGCGGCTTAGTCATGCTGGCCACATGACCTGGAAGCTGTACGGCGGCTCCCTCAGCCAATACAGCGAGATGAGCACCGCAACCCCAGAGTCGGTCACGACTGGACTTAAAGGTCAGGGGTCCCTTTACCTTTACCTATTCTTCCCCACAAGCTGAAAGCGTAAGTCTTATGAACCATAAGAGCTAGCAAAAGAGCTAGCTAGGGGAGAGGGCAGCCTGTGCTGGAAGAGCGGTGTTAGAAACTCAGATATATAAGCTAGGTGTCAAATGGCTCCTTAAACCAGAGTTACAGTCACCAAAATGGAATGCCTAGTTGCCATTTTGGGGCCAGATAGCTCGAAAGTCCTATTTTCCCAATAAGGTCTTTTGGTTGCTGAAATTCGTTCTGAGTGTGCAGATAAAATATAATGGGTAGAATTCCGCAGGATGTGTTGCTAGTGTGTGAAAACAGTCAAGAGGATCCTCAGACATGCACCTCCAGGTGGTGGAGACATCGGGCATCTTCACCTGGTTGCAAATGGCCGGTTTTGTTGTTGTTTAGTCATTTAGTTATGTCCGATTCTTCGTGACCCCATGGACCAGAGCACGCCAGGCACTCCTGTCTTCCACTGCCTCCCACAGTTTGGTCAAACTCATGCTGGTAGCTTCAAGAACACTGTCCAACCATCTCGTCCTCCGTCGTCCCCTTCTCCTTGTGCCCTCCATCTTTCCCAACATCAGGGTCTTTTCCAGGGAGTCTTCTCTTCTCATGAGGTGGCCAAAGTATTGGAGCCTCAGCTTCAGGATCTGTCCTTCCCATGAGCACTCAGGGCTGATTTCCTTCAGAATGGATAGGTTGGATCTTATTGCAGTCCATGGGACTCTCAAGAGTCTCCTCCAGCACCATAATTCAAAAGCATCCATTCTTTGGCAATCAGCCTTCTTTATGGTCCAGCTCTCACTTCCATACATCACTACTGGGAAAACCATAGCTAGGTGCAAAATGTACCTGGCGCATGTTGAATGCTGTCATCCTTCTCTCTGCCTTCAGGTCCTAGTAATGACCTGCTTGTTGTTCCTGCAGCTTCTCCGATGATGCTGAGGTCTGGTATGAGGAAGATGAGGAAGAGTGGAAGCCCTCAGGAGGTCTGACCATCATGAATGAAGGAGCTGCCAATGAAGGTAAGGACTCTTCATGTCATACATTAGGTAGCCTGTGTGTTGCCAGACACCATGGGCCAGGGATTGCTCTTCAAAGCTTAGGCTTGGGACCTCTTAGCAGTGCCACATATTGCACTGGAATAAAACAAGGCCGTGAATCTATACCTGTGCAGAACACGTCTGTCTCTAGTGGAGGAACCACAAGCAGGCACCCACTCCCCGCCATATTATGGAAGTGTTCCTGGCATCCAGGCAGACTACAGCCATTCCACAAACTGTGTGTGTGTGTGTGTGTGTGTGTGTGTGTCACTTTACAGAGCAACTGAGTGGCAGGGTCAAGGGCCAATCTGTGCACAGGGCTGACTAGAGCCGGCCCAGGAGTTTGGATGGCTTCCAGGAAAGCAAATGTCTTGCTTTGCAAAAAGCAAGAAGGAGGGCACTGCTGCAAGTGCGGTGAAGACCAGGAGCAAATCAGGACGTGTGTGTGTGTTTTCTTGGTTTGTATGTAGCTTTCCCCTCTCCCCACATCCCATTGCTGCTCTCAGCAACAGCCCTCCCTTCCCTTTGTTGTTCTTTGAAGCGCACAGGAGTCTTAATACTCTGCTGCAATGAAAAGAACTGCAGTCGGGAAGGTATGCCCTCAAGGAAGGCTTTGCAATGGAGAAAACAGGCTCTCTGTTAAGGCCAGTCATTCATTTTGGCTGTTCTGTGGCCCTTTCCTCCTCAGAAAGCCAAGACAGAAACAGGAGTTTCCAGGTCTCTCTGGACTCGGTTGATACGACGACACAGGTGAGTACAAGCAACTCTCTTGCAAAGCTTCTCACTTCTCATCCTCAGGGACCAGCAACTGATGCAGATCTGGTAAATCAGGAAGGGGGGGCGGATGGAGACCTGCAAGGGAACATGTGGGAGCTGCCAGAATGAGCTTTGCAGCTTCATCATTACCAGGCGCTGTACACACACAAGCCCATTTGTAAAGTAAAGGTAAAGGGACCCCTGACCATTAGGTCCAGTCGTGGCCGACTCTGGGGTTGCTGCGCTCATCTCACTTTATTGGCTGAGGGAACCCGTGTACAGCTTCCGGGTCATGTGGCCAGCATGACTAAGCCCCTTCTGGCGAACCAGAGCAGCGCACGGAAACGCCATTTACCTTCCCGCCGGAGCGGTACCTATTTATCTACTTGCACTTGGACGTGCTTTTGAACTGCTAGGTTGGTAGGAACAGGGACCAAGCAACGGGAGCTCACCCCGTCGCGGGGATTCGAACCACCGACCTTCTGATCGGCAAGTCCTAGGCTCTGTGGTTTAACTCACAGTGCCACCTGCATCCCAACCCATTTGTCGCACACACCAAAAATGTCATTTTCTTCAATCCAGAATTGTTAGTGCTGATCCTCAACCTAGAATCTGTATAGCTTGATTCTAGAGCCTGCTGCCCACAAGGGTGAGCTTACTTGATATACATTGGAAAACCTTCCCCTTGCTTCGGTAATCCATGTTTTCTCCCCTTTGCACGTGCCTCAGGTAAATGAAGCAGGAAGCAGTGATTATGCTATTGCAATGCACCCACCCAAAATGTCATTGGGCAGGTCATGGGCCAGGATTTATTTTAGGGGCAGAACAGAACAGACACAATTGGCCAATTAGATTTAGAGGGGGGCAGCTGCCCCCCTGCCTCTGCCCATGTGGCAAGTGTAGATACACGCCCATTGCTGGGACCGACTAGATCTGTTTTCATCTGTTTGCGTGTCGAGATCCCCAGGGCCACCCCAATAACTCACACATCACACAGAATTTTTTGTTTAAGATTTTTGGCATAATTTTGGCCACAACTTTATTGAAATACAAATTTGTGAGTGGTTGCTTAGGCATTGGTTGCGACTATCTGCCCCCACCATGGGGGACAGACTGACATTCCACACGATGCGAAAGTCAGAATAGGGGAATACACTTGGGGGTTACGCGGAGCAGGGAACCTGCCCTCACCCCAAATGCAACCAGGAGCTCATTGCTATGGCCCGAGCCCCCTTGACAGAGTGGACAAGCAATAGTTAGCCCCCGATTCCTTTAACGGAATCCCTTGCAGCAGCAGCATTAGAGGGGCAGGCACAGCCAATCCATGCCCCTCAACCAACCAAACCATAAACCAATGCCTAACCACAACCTTACAAGTTGTGACGATTTGCTACGCAGTAGGCAAAAACCAAATGGCCCCAGCCAATCTGCCAGATGGACAAAATTCCTACCGGGCCCCTGCCCCAAGAGCAGACGACCCCATGACAGGCATAGCAAGGTCAAAGCGAACAACCCTATTCTAGGGAGGGAGGGACGGGCAATCCGATGCACGGGCGAAAAGAGGAAGCCCTAGCCTCGTGCAAGGAGTTTTAGCATTTCTGGCTGTCAATCAACAAATGGCAACATAAACTTCTTCCCAACAACAAGGGAAGCCCCAATCGCATCAGTGGCCAATGATCAATTAGCCCGCCCCCAATTTTGGAGTGTCCTGGCGGCCCCCACCACAACACGTGCTCTCCATGAAGGAGAACACGCTTTACAAATGGCCACACTGCGGGGTAATGCACGATCAATCTAGAAAGAGCTATTACTTTTTGGATGAGACCAGTGTCGTGCATATGCAGCCTCAGGCACTTAGAGGTGAAAGCAGCAAACTTTATTGCAGTCTCCCTGCACACATTCCCCCATCCGTCTTTGTCTGAAGAACACTGAAGAACACACGCAAAGGCCCTTTTAGAAAATTGCCCCAGAATCAGTACAGGGCAATAACCTACTGAAGCCACTGGAGGGAGCTGCAGTCATTAGGATCTCCCCAACCAAAACAAAAGAGACCAAGCAGTGGTGTAGCGTGGGGGGTGCAGGGGGGGGGCAGCCGCACCGGGCGCAACATCTGGGGTTAGGGCAAATCCATGGGTTAGGGGGCGCAAATCCACAGGTTAGGGGGCGCAAATCCACGGGTTAGGGGGTGCAAATTACTTGCCTTGCCCCGGGTGCTGACAACCCACGCTATGCCGCTGAGACCAAGTAGTGAAAACTGGAACTGAAACAGCTCCAAAATACAGTTGTACCTTGGAAGCCAAACGGAATCCGTTCCAGAAGTCCGTTCGACTTCCAAAATGTTTGGAAACCAAAGCACAGCTTCCCATGGGCTACAGGAACTGGAAGCCACGTCAGACGTTCAGCTTCTGAAAACCTTTTGAAAACCAGAACACTCACTTCCGGGTTTTGATCATTCGGGAGCCAATTTGTTCGGGAGCCAAGGCGTTTGAGATCCAAAGTATGACTGTATAACTTGCATAAAGGCAAACAGGTCTTGCAACAGAATGCTGCGCTCTCTCTAACGAGAGCCTTCCTATTTAGGATTGCAGCCAGCCAGGCATGCCCTCCTCCAGCATTGTATGAGCCAGAGGTAGCCAACAGATATCTCCGCATGCTATTGGACTACAGTTCCCAACATCTTTATCTGGACAACAGTGCTGTCACTCACCACTAAGGCTGTCAAAATAAATTAAAAAATTGTCCAGTAGCACCTTAGAGACCAACTAAGTTGGTTCTGGGTATAAGCTTTCGTGTGCATGCACATGTCTTTAGATACTAAGGCTGTTGTTGTTGTTTAAATCAGAGGAGTGATGCTATTGTGGAGTTTACATGCAAACAGTAACCCAGTCTTAGTTAACTAGCTACAGGAAAGGTGATTAATCAGCTCTAAAAAGATTCCGTAGATACATTACTTTCAAATGGCTTTATAAAATTTCACTGAAATCTTAAAGTGCACATTTGCAATTGCTGATTTCTTTGGGTGTCAAATGAACCCTATATCTTTTGTGGAGCTCATAGAGTATCTGACCTTTTCTCTTTGCAGATGCAGTTCCAAAAACCAACAGCACTGACCAACTGTTGATCCCATCCTAGAACACATCCTGGAAATTCGACTGAATTACATCAAGGACCCTGAAAGCCCAATGCTAACAGTCAGACTATATTACAGTTGTCTACATTCCTTCCTGGGAGAGAGTTTTGGGGCTTGGAACAAATGGAAACTTAAACCAGACAAGACAAAGGTGCTCTTGGTCAGTCAGAAGACAGAACAGGGAATAGGGATATTGGAAACTGGTTGTTGTTTTTTTATGACTGCTCCTAGACTTTGAAACTCTCTCCATACAGAACCTAGACTTGCTGTCTCCTTGTTGTCCTTCCACTGGCTAATGAAGACTTTCTTATTCCAACAGTGCTGTTGGGAAGTGACTGTTTGTGAGAAAAGGGCAGACACAATGATGTTTTTTATTGTAATTATCTGTATGTTCTAACAAAACATACACACACCCTTCCCTTGCATGCGAAGACAGGCTCCAGCAGATTGAGCGGACGAGATCGATAGTGTATCCGATGGTCCACAAGGCAGTTTCTCCACGTACTGTACAGGGAAGTGAGGGGCAGATGTGGCTTGTCAACCTGGAAGGTAGCCCATATAAGAGAAGGGAGAAACTGATTCTAAACCTCCACTGCCTTGCAAGATATCCTAGGGAGAAGAAAAAGCTAAGGAGTGAAGCCTGTACAAACCTGAAGTCCCTAAGAAAGTTGGATGGCTCCTTGTACACCTCCTTCTGGCAACTCCTGCAGCCAAGTTGATGCCAAACGTCTTGCTCTGCTTTCCTTTGGACAGTATCAGCGAGGCCAGGGGGGGGGTCTTGTCGTCTGGGCAGCCAAGGACCTCCACACACACTGCTCAACATGTTTTGTTGTGTTGTTGTTTAGTCGTTTAGTCGTGTCCGACTCTTTGTGACCCCATGAACCAGAGCACGCCAGGCACTCCTGTCTTCCACTGCCTCCCGCAGTTTGGTCAAACTCATGCTGGTAGCTTCGAGAACACTATTCAACCATCTCATCCTCTGTCGTCCCCTTCGCCTTGTGCCCTCCATCTTTCCCAGCATCAGGGTCTTTTCCAGGGAGTCTTCTCTTCTCATGAGGTGGCCACAGTATTGGAGGCTCAGCTTCAGGATCTGTCCTTCCAGTGAGCACTCAGGGCTGATTTCCTTCAGAATGGATAGGTTTGTTCTTCTTGCAGTCCATGGGACTCTCAAGAGTCTCCTCCAGCACCATAATTCAAAAGCATCAATTCTTCGGCCATCAGCCTTCTTTATGGTCCAGCTCTCACTTCCATACATCACTCCTGGGAAAACCATGTTGTTGTTTAGTCGTTTAGTCGTGTCCGACTCTTCGTGACCCCATGGACCATAGCTTTTACTATATGGACCTTTGTTGGCAAGGTGAATTTTCTTGCTTTTAAATTATTACCCCACCTGTAAGCCGCCTTGAGCTCCTCTCAGGGGGAAAGTGGGATAGAATTAAATATAATAACAACATCAACAACACCTCCACTTACCACAGTGACAAAAAGCAAACACAGCAGGGCCAGGCAGGTAGATGACAGCGTGGGGATGTCTCCAAACAGGCAGTCCCATAGTTCAATTCTTTCTTTCTTTTTTAATTGAAATAATTCAACATTAATACACTTATACATACATATTACGGATATACAAACAAACATACATTTCATACAACCCTTAAAAATATTCATAACATTGTTGTTGTTTAGTTGTTTAGTCGTGTCCAACTCTTCGTGACCCCATGGACCAGAGCACGCCAGGCACCTCTGTCCTCCACTACCTCCCGCAGTTTGGTCAAACTCATGCTAGTAACCTCGAGAACACTATCCAACCATCTCGTCCTCTGCCGTCCCCTTCTCCTTGTGCCCTCCATCTTTCCCAGCATCAGTGTCTTCTCCAGGGAGTCTTCTCTTCTCATGAGGTGGCCAAAGTACTGGAGCCTCAGCTTCACGATCTGTCCTTCCAGTGAGCACTCAGGGCTGATTTCCTTAAGAATGGATGCGTTTGATCTTCTTGCAGTCCATGGGACTCCTCCAGCACCATAATTCAAAAGCATCAATTCTTCGGCGATCAGCCTTCTTTATGGTCCAGCTCTCACTTCCATACATCACTACTGGGAAAACCATGGCTTTAACTATATGGACCTTTGTTGGCAAGGTGACGTCCCCAGATTCAATCCTTTCCCCACCACTGTCCCTCACCCCTCACCCCACCCCGTGTTAGACTTCCAATCTACTCAATTGCAATTTCTTTCCATTTCTATTAATTTCTTTCACACACTATTAAACCAACTTTCTACTTCATTTTCTGTTATACATTGTTATCCATATTATTTGGTATTTCAGTATTTATAACGGAACTTGTTTATTCTAATAGGAGTTCTGATTTTTCAATATGAATTTGCAAATATCCTTTAAACACCTTCCAGTCCTTGTCTACCTTCTCTTTTGAGATCCTTCCGATTTCTCCCATTGTTTTGGACATATTGTAATACTCCAATAATTTGTCTTTGTCGGTATTATACCACTTTTCCAATTTTTCAATTCTTAGGCTTCACAGTCCCAGGGGAAGATCATGTCAGGTCAGATTCTGAACACGTGAACTGGTATTCGAGGTGTCCCAATGTTTTGTCTGTGTTCCTATACATCACCTGCACACTGTTGGCACTTGACGAACGCTTCGTGTAGTGGAGCAATGATTAAAATCTAAATGATTGCAAATGTGTTTCATTGACTTTATTCGTGGCAGCACCCATTAATGATCAAGGGCACTTCCAGACCGTTGCTATTTCCGGGGGGTCGAGGGGGGATCCGATCACATACCAGCAAACTGGAGTTAGACAACGGAAGCTGATTAGCGCACTTACACAACAAATACGCTTCCTTCCCAAACTGGGCTTTTAGTGATGGGGGAATGCATTGGAAGTGGTGGGGTAAAAGCTGCTTGACGCGATGTCATGTAACCTCCCAGGAAGCAAATCAGAACGAATGCTGGATCAATAGCCAAGCGTCCCGGAAACATTTTGGAAACAGATCATAGCTCTCAACTTCTCCCTTCTCTTGCGAGGAATCCTATTCGGAATAAGGGAAATCCCCTTTAAAAAAGGGAAACGTTGACAGCTATGAAACAGATCAGGGTGACAATGAACAGGTTGGTGGAAGTCCCTTGTGTTTTGCAAACTCTGTTAAAGGGAGGGTGCAGGTTGACAAGGGGATCCAGCAAAGGGGAGCAGTTTTTTAATACATGATTTAATGTGAATGAACTGGCACAAAAATGGGTTGTGTGAGCAGGGGTGGACTTTGGTAATAGGGATCTCTGTAGGTACCCCACATAAATAGAGGTATTATTATTATTATTATTATTATTATTGTTTTGCTCTCCCTCGGCTTGGTGCCCTGTACGAGGGAACCGCCCGCAGCACCCTAAATCTGGTGCTGGTTTGAGTTTGGTCAGCTGAGAAAAAGGGCAAAAGAAAAATAGGTTGTGCTGCCCCAGGATAGAAAATCTGTAAACTAGAACTGTGCTATTGTTGGCAGCTTGCATTCCACGCACATGACCAAGGCAGTGCAAAGGTAAAACTGAGGTAAAAGTGCTGAGATAAAAGTGCAAACATACTGGGAATGTGGGCTTGGGAGAGCACATCTTTGTTTGGAATCCTGTCCTGCCCAAAATCTTCCTGACGCAGTGCATTTGTACTCCTGGCGAGGGTAAAAAGATAAAGGATCCCTGGACCTTTAAGTCTAGTCAAAGGCGAATATCGGGTTCATAGAATCATAGAATCATAGAGTTGGAATAGACCACAAGGTCCATTGAGTCCAACCCCCTGCCAAGCAGGAAACACCACCAGAGCACTCCTGACATATGGTTGTCAAGCCTCTGCTTAAAGACCTCCAAAGAAGGAGACTCCACCACACTCCTTGGCAGCAAATTCCACTGTCAAACGGCTCTTACTATCAGGAAGTTCTTCCTAATGTTTAGGTGGAATCTTCTTTCTTGTAGTTTGGATCCATTGCTCCGTGTCCGCTTCTCTGGAGCAGCAGAAAACAACCTTTTCCCCTCCTCTATATGACATCCTTTATATATTTGAACATGGCTATCCTATCACCCCTTAACCTCCTCTTCTCCAGGCTAAACATGCCCAGCTCCCTTAGCCATTCCTCATAAGGCATCGTTTCCAGGCCTTTGACCATTTTGGTTGCCCTCCTCTGGACACGTTCCAGTTTGTCAGTGTCCTTCTTGAACTGTGGTGCCCAGAACTGGACACAGTACTCCAGGTGAGGTCTGACCAGAGCAGAATACAGTGGCACTATTACTTCCCTTGATCTAGATGCTATACTCCTATTGATGCAGCCCAGAATTGCATTGGCTTTTTTAGCTGGTTGCAGCTGGGTTTTTTAGCTGGGTTGCAGCGCTCATCTCGCTTTCAGGCCGAAGGAGCCGACGTTTGTCCACAGACAGCTTTCCAGGTCATGTGGCCAGCAGGACTAAACCACTTCTGGCGCAACGGGACACCATGACAGAAACCAGAGCACACGGAAACGCCGTTTACCTTTCAGCCAGTGTGGTCCCTATTTATCTACTTGCACTGGCGTGCTTTTGAATTGCTAGGTTGGCAGGAGCTGGGACAGAGCTCACCCCGTTGCGGGGATTCGAACCGCCAACCTTCTGATCAGCAACCCAAGAGGCTCAGTGGTTTAGGCCACAGTTGCCCATGACTCACTTCCATAAAGCAGCATGCTCAACACACAGCCTGGTAGACCTTCAGCCTGGTATTGGTTGTTGTTGTTATTTAAATTTGTGTACCACCCTTCATTCGTAGATCTCAGGGCAGTTCATAATATATAAAAATACAATGTTGTTGTTTAGTCTGTCCAACTCTTCGTGACCCCATGGACCAGAGCACACCAGGCACTCCTGTCTTCCACTGCCTCCCGCAGTTTGGTCAAACTCATGCTGGTAGCTTCGAGAACACTGCCCAACCATCTCGTCCTCTGTCGTCCCCTTCTCCTTGTGCCCTCCATCTTTCCCAACATCAGGGTCTTTTCCAGGGAGTCTTCTCTTCTCACGAGGTGGCCAAAGTATTGGAGCCTCAGCTTCAGGATCTGTCCTTCCCGTGAGCACTCAGGGCTGATTTCCTTCAGAATGGATGCGTTTGATCTTCTTACAGTCCATGGGACTCTCAAGAGTCTCCTCCAGCACCATAATTCAAAAGCATCAATTCTTCGGCGATCAGCCTTCTTTATGGTCCAGCTCTGACTTCCATACATCACTACTGGGAAAACCAGTAAGTCAATATAAAAGACAATATAAGAAACAAAAAAACCACATAATAATAAAGAGCAAAAACAATTCAATTATCCCCTCTCCTAAAACGCATTTAAAACAGTTTCGGATGTTACTCATCCAAAGGCCGAGATCAGGGGTCTGAAACCTTTAAGACAAAAAGAGCCACTTGGACCCATTTCCGAAGGGGAAAAAACTGGGAACCGCAAAACCGGGAAGGTGACGTCGGGACGGTGTGTGACTAGCACACGCACCGCCCCCATGCAACATCACAGCCAGTACAGCGTCCGCCACAGTGGGGAGTGTCGGGGCACACAATGCGCCTCCTCCCCTCGCTAGTATCCGCCCCGGAGCCGCGGCAAAGGTGTAAAAGAGCCACATGCGGCTCCGGAGCCGTGGGTTGCAGACCCCTGGCCTAGATGAAGAGGACCGTTTTCGCCTGGCACCTAAAAGTGTTATAATGAAGGCACCAGGTGAGCCTTTCTGGGGAG